CCCCCCCCCCCCCCCCCCCCCCCCCCCCCAATGATATTTGTGTATGCCGACCCAAGAAGGTAGGGGGTAGTAGGTACGTGAGAAAATAAATGAAAACTTATTGAAATATAGAGAAATAAAATTTAGTGTCCACTGCCGCTAAACAAGTCATAATTGACGATGTTTAAGCTTCCGGTAAATAATGGATTAAATCAAAATGACACATTAAACCACTTTTGCTTCTTGCTTTCTGTGTTTGGGTGGTACTGTAAATGTTATGCAACAATGAATGAATGCATCAAGAGAATCTTTGAATGCTTTTACTATGAGGAAAACAGATGTTGATACCCATTCTCCTTTGGCTATCGATCTCCAGGTTCTTCTCAAGCAGAAAGAGATCAGTGGAGAAGAAATTGACTTCATCCTCAGCAACTACCCACCACATACACCGGCAAGTCTGCTACTGGGAGAGAGAGACCCGGGGAGTCTTCCGTCATTTCATCAAGAACAAGAGCCCGCTAATGAGCTGGAGTACAGTCTGTTAGCTTCGTGAAAAAATTTGTTGTCGTGGAACGAAAGTGAACTGGGAAGTGTAGACAAAAATCAGCACCCAGGAACCTGGTGGAGTTGATTGTGAATTGCAATCAGGTGAGGCCTCAGAATACTAGTTCTTTTTGGCAAAACAAGGACTGCATTGTGCTTAGATTTTGTGCTCATTTTTGTTTTGTTTAATATCAATGGTGGCAATACAAGGTCTGCATGTGTTTTGTTTTGTTTATAATCAGAGGCCTCAGATACTTTTTGTTTAAAACAAAGTCTAGTCTATCCTACCCACTTTAATTTCGATTTTAAAAAGACTACTATTGTTTACTATCACGGTCCGTTTGGTACACGAATTGACAGAATTAGAATTGAATTGGGAGTTGAAATTCTTTTTTGACAATACCAATTCCAAATCCACATATTTTTGTGCCACCAAACAACAGAATTAGAAATAGAAATGTTGTCTCTAATTTTAATTCCATAGTTTGAATTCAGTGTATCAAACGGATCATTGTCAATGTACAATAATTGTCTCCCCACTATACCTTCAAAACTAAATCACGAACAAACGGATTGTAAGGTGGACACATGCTCTATTCGAATAACACTTGGAAGAAACTCATCACGAACAAACGGATTGTCAATCTCAATGTGTTCTATTTTGTTCACTCATGAAAGACCAAATTCGTTAATGGTCATACAGGTACAATGATGAACAATCAAGCGACGAGAGCTTTGTACTCAATTTCATGAAAGATACATGTAGAAATCCAATCCCTTTTAAGCATTCTAACTCACGAGTAACTGCGACAAGAGATTTGTACTCGGCTTCATCATAAGAACAAGCAACTTTAGGGGCTATTTGGCAATTTCTGAATAGGTAAGTGTTGAACCAGTAAGAGGTAAGAGGTCTGAACCATTAAGTGCTGAACCAGTAAGAGGTCTGAACCATTAAGAGCTAGTATATTTCTTAACTATTCAAAGGCAAATGTCTGATCAATTCAGATAAGAGGTCTCAACCATTCAGACTCTGTATAATATTTAACCATTCAGAGGCAAATGTCTGAGCCATTCAGACATCTGAATCATTAAGAGGCTGAAACAAACAGTCTAAACCATTAAGTGCTGAACTATTCAGACATCTGAACCATTAAGAGGCTGAAACAAATAGCCCCTTAATTTCTAAAAATGATTTAATGTTCCCAAATCTTTTATGTGAAAAGAGTTAGACAAATAAAATTTAAATCGAGTAATTAAATCTATATCAAAATAAAGAATAGTTAGATACAAACTAAAGAAAATCATATCTCTTTAAATCACTAGAAAATTTCACAAACCAACACTGAGATGCTTATTTTAGACTATAGAACAATATCGTAGCATGCATACTACGTTAGAACACATGGGCATAAAACCTTGAGGCAATCACATAAAGAAATCTTCATGAAGGTCCACATTCATACGATGAAGTTCCCATGATTTAGCTCTTTCCATTACCAACAAAGTATGTGATGGATGCTTAATATTTCCCTAAGACTGTTGATCGGTCCAGGTTCAAATATTAGTATCTGGGTTTTATAACAGTGAAAAAATAACAAGAAAAGAGTAATGAACTCTAATCAATTGTACTGCACACAAAGTATGAACTCGAACTGGTGACCCTTTCTTTATTCGGTCCACCTTGGGATTGGAATGTGCTAAAGGACCGCCGGTATATTCTTTTATTACTCAAGTTTCTTCTCTCTCTATTACCAGTTATATTTACTATCTAAGTTCTCTCTCTTTTTATAGGAGCTCCCCAACCACCATCTCTTCAATATATTCGCGGTGGTTGGGGAGGATATCCGGGCTGATGGGGAATAACCCCACACCGGCCTAGGGCTGACATCAGCGTAAATTTCCAAATGCCCGCCAAACTTCCTGCCCAGCTCTGCGCTCCGCTCGTCATTCCTGCCCGGCTCTGCGCTCCGCTCGTCATTCCTGCCCGGCTCTGCGCTCTGCTCGTCCTCCCTGCTCGACCGACCAAGCCGAGCCCGAGCCCCGCGACAATGACATGCGGAAAGTGACGTTCAACGGAGACTTGAGGAAAGCGATAGGATGAAAGGGACAAGACGGGCGGAAAACGACGTTCAACGAAGACTTGGTGAAAGCGATAGGATGAAAGGGACAAGACATAAGGACAGGTGACGTCCGCTAAACGACGGGCCTCGATCAGAGGGCTTTGACTTAGTGTATTTTACCCCCTATAAAAGGGGTGGCACCCCTCATTGTAAGGGGACCGAATTTTGAATTCAATATACTCCCACTTTGCGCACACACACTCTCTCTCTCTAAAACTTTATATTATTTCATACTCTCGGTGGTTTATAGCCATCAAATTGGTGCTCTCGTTGAGAGGAGAGGAACATACTCGTAGGTTAACTCCCGAACGCGAGAATGGTGCAAACAAGGAGCAACGTCCCCACCACCAGCCACGTAGTTGGCGAGGAGAACGCGTCGGGCAGCGGCAACGGCAACGGCACGGGAGGTATCGGCTCGACTCCAGACGCGGTCCAAGCGCTGTTCGGCTTGGGGGTGACCGCGGAGCAGCTCCAGGCAGCCGTTGCGGCACTTTCCGCTATGGGTGGGAACGTGCCCGGCGCCGGAGGTGGCAAAGCTCCGCCCGGTCTCCATGCCGAACACGCTGCCACTTCCCAACACAAGGGGAAGAAGACCCGTAGGAGCAAAAGGAGGCCCGGCAAAGCCCCGGTGTTTGAGGAGGTGATAGTGGAGGACATCCCCGAAGGAGAAGACGATGAGTCCAGCCAGTGCCGGGTGTCGGCCTTCAAGCGCTTAGGAGGTGAAGAGACCCGGGTGTCGGCCTTCGACAGGCTCGACCACGGACCGGGAGGTCACCCGGGCGACCTCCGCCGACAAATAACCGAAGGTAGGCGGAGACATGCTGAGGAGTCCACGACCTCGGATGCACGCTCGGCCAGGCCCGAGCGGAGCGGAGAAAGACGGGACGAGCGCACCCAGCGTCGCCATAGTCCAACAAGAACTGAGAAGACAAGGGCCTCTGACCAAGGGGTATCTCGGCTCGCTCGTGAGATTGCCGAGCTCAAGCGCCGAGTGGAGACCAGGGCTCCCTACAGCCAGCCCATCTTGCGGATGGTAACCCCTTTCACTCCGAGGGTTATGTCGGTTCCGCTTCCGGCAAACTTCCGGCCGTGGCAGATCAAGGCCTACAACGGAACGACGGACCCCCAAGATCATTTGTCTAAGTTCTATGCTTCTATGGAAGCGGCGGCAGCCCCGGACGAGGTCAAGTGCCGATGCTTTCTCGCGACGCTAGAGGGCTCCACGTGCGATTGGTTCAACCGGCTCCCGAAGGGAACTATTGACGACTGGGATACGCTAGCGGAGAAGTTCTTGACGCACTTCGCAGCCAACCGGAGGCAGAGGCTACCTTACTCCCACCTGCTCAACATTTGCATCCGCAAAGGAGAGAAGGTCCATGACTTCATAACCCGGTGGGAGAAGGAAGCCAGAGACGTGCACGGGGCGGATGATCAAGCGTTGGTGGCCATGTTCCAAGCAGCCCTTTCCCGCGGTGAGGTGAGGAAGGAGCTCCGCAAGAATCCTCCCCCCACGTACCAGGAAACCTTGGCGCGCGCTAAGTTCTTGGCCTCAGAGGAATTCGATGATGCCCCTGACTCCGAGGCCGCGCCGGCCAAGCGAGCTCCCGCAGATGCAGAGGAGATAGCGAAGAAGAGGAAGAAGAAGAAAGACCACACTGTGGGCCCGAGGACGCCCTCGGCGGGTGTGTACTCCGCGGGTGCGCCTGCGGGGACGGGTCGAGAGCTGGTCCTCTCCCCGCTCCCGCACGTAGAGACCTATGCGGTGTCCGGCGGCGCCAAGTACTGCGAGTATCACCGCAACAACACTCACAACACTAAGGAATGCTTCACTCTTCAGAAGGAGATGCAGCGACTCATCGCCCGAGGGCCGGCTCAGCAAGACGATGGAGCAACCCCTTCCCGGGGCCCACCAGAAGGAAGAACATGGAGGAAGCCGACCGAGCCGGTCGCGGTGGCCACGCAAGCGAGGAACCCCGAGAAGAGGCACATTGGGCGAGAGTGTGATGATCTAGACGAGGACGAAGCCCAAGGATATCCGGTGGGGTTCATCCATGGAGGAAATATCGGCGGGGACTCTGCTGCTCAAAGAAAGAGGTGGAAGCACGTGGCCTTCGTCGCCAAGGTCCAACAGGCGCCGACGCCCAAGCTCGGAAGACGAGAGCAAATCCAATTCACAGAGAAGGATCTTCCGGACACGTCGAGCCCCCACCAGGACGCCTTAGTCGTGAGGATGGAGATCAACAACGCCATAGTGCACCGCACCTTGGTGGACACGGGAAGCTCGGTCAACATAATGTATGAGAAGACCTTTCAAGACCTCGGCTTGGACCGCAAAGATTTAAGGCCCGTGCGCACTCCTCTCTCCGGGTTCACGGGGGACTCCATCGAGACCGAGGGAGTTGTCACCGTGCCCGTGATAGTAGGGGATGGTGCGCACAAGGCCAGGTTGAAGATGGAGTTCATGGTTGTGAGCATCAGCTGCGCGCACAACATGATCCTAGGACGGCCCGACCTTGAGGACTTGGAATGTGTAATCTCCCCATACTACTTGTGCATGAAGTTCCCCACTCCTTCGGGAATCGGGGTGGCGAGGGGAGACCAAAAGTTAGCTCGGTCATGCTATGTCCGAATCACAAAGAAGTTGCCAAGGGATGAGACATTGGTCGTGCACGCACAAGAAGAAATGCGGAAGCTGGAAGCACGGCCGAAGGCCGAGCCCGCTGAGGAGGTCGAGGAAGTGCCGCTCGACCCTCGAGCACCCGAGCGGAAGGTGAAGGTCGGGGCGAGCCTGACCGGGAGCCAGCGGAAGCGCTTAGTGGACGTGCTCTCCGCCTACCGCGTGATCTTTGCATGGGGACCCGGGGATATGCCGGGGGTAGACCCCAAGGTCATATGTCACCGCTTGGCA